CGAAGTTCGATGATAGTCATTAATGAAAATTTGAGGAAAACGTTGTTATTGATAACAATAAAGTTTATCAATAGCTGCTTAGCAAAAAAATAGAAAATCAGTTGACAGAGGAGAAAAAGGTACTAAACATTCACACACACAACATTCCACATTCAAGAAATAGAGAAAATTCAAACAAAATTCTTAAAGCATTTAAGATTTAGATGTTCCGCTACTGATCAAGTTGTTCCTAATTTGATCTCTCTGGAAAAACGTCGTAAGGTAAAGGACCAAACATTTCTGTTGAAATTACTACATAATATTATTGACTCTCCATTTCTTCTTAACATCATTAACTTCCGATGTCCAAGACAATCTTCGCGAATTAAATCTTTATTTTATTCAAATACTACACGTACAAAATATGCACAAAATGCCTTCATTCATCGTTCTTGTTTATTATATAACAAATAATACTGTTCAATTGAATATTTAATGTACAGATTCGGCTTAGTTACAATTTTATTATATGTATAGATACCTTGGCGACGGTTTGACGGATGAGTACGAGTAAATAAATATTTTAGAATATAAAGTACATAAATAATACAAAAATATAAACAAAGAAGTACAAAAAGTGATGTAAAGTGGCACAAATTGATAGTTATAGGGATATTATAGTGCTCAGTGACTGAAATAGAGCGATACAGTGTGTGAACTGCGAGTGTACAGTCGTGTACGTGTCGTGTGTAGTACCGATAAAACATCTATATTGCAAGTAACCGGTTTTAATTTACGAACCCTGAACCGAACTAGTAGCAATGTTATACCATTCCATCTATAAAACACGGGAATGCTGCGATAAAAATATATTCCTATGGAAATATGTTTTTTCTTAAATTCACATTTTGATTCTGCTGCATAAAATAAGTAAAAACCAACATTTTTTTTTAATTTATAATATTAGGTAGACTTCGCTGTCGTCCGTCGGTAGGCACGTTTTAAATAGATATAAATACTTGCTACTTACTTACTAATCTTTGTTTTATATATACGTATGTAGTTTATAAACTTATTCAAAATAAGAATTGAAAAGAAGACCTTCAAACTTTACATACATTAACAGTTGGACTTTTGTATATACATATATTGTATAACTTCTTCGTGCCTTTTCCATTTTTAGAAGATAAGAGTTAACTCAACGTCTACAAACGTTTAATTCTAATTATATAAACTGCTATCTTAAGAAACAGTGGCGATTACCTTAGTGCTTTAATAATTTTATAAGTATTACTAGCGACTCATCCTCGCTTCGCTCGGGTTCGTTCCTAGGTTGATTCCCCATACAAACTTTCATCCCAATTTTCGCTCCCTTAAGGGACGATTTCCGGAATAAAAAGTATCCTATGTCCTTCCTAGCATCTCAAACTATCTTCTTACTAAATTTCATCTAAATCGGTTCAGTAGATCCAGAGATTACCCCCTACAACGTCATAAACTCACAAACTCACAATTCACAAACTTTACCTCTTTATAATATTAATATAGATTATAGGGAATCATGTACATAATAATTTCATAATCGATATTTTAACTTTATACTCACCAAGCGTGGTACAAATAAAAGAAAGTGCTAATGCTTTTGCTCGGGAAACCAAGTGATACGGCTTCAAATCCCGGGTCTCGCACCTCTGATAACTTCATGTATGAATCATGTTTCAAAGTGATTAAAACGATGAAGGAAAACATCGTAAGAAAACCTTTATGTCTGAGAGAACCTATCAAGTTTTTAAGACATATGAATTCCGCACAAGCGCAGTTGGTCAGCGTGGAATAAAGGGGTGTAAAGGGAAGGCCTATACTCAGCAATGGGATATTTAAAAGGGCTGAGTACTCTCCAAAAGTCAAAATAACTTAGGTAATACACGCACTGTAAATGAAATAAAAAGTTATGCCGTTAACTAGTGGCTACGAATATTTCATTTACTTTACAGTGGAGATAAGATGAAAAATTAAAACGATACTCTCCCATTGAGAGTTATAAAAAATATATTTACTACAAACAGGACCATATCAGGCTTTAAATATGGCTTGTATGCTTTTAAGAGTTTTTCTATATATTATTTAAAAATGCCCATTATATACTCTAATAAACTACATTTTACACAATATATAATTTTCGGTGACTATAATTATTAGTAGTAGTTTTAGCTCGCGGCTTTTTTTTAACACGCAAGGTGTTAAGTCACGCGAGGATCAAAGGTGTGTCCATCCCCAAGATGCAATTTATGTCCTTGTCAAATTTTATTTTTGTTGTTCGCCTTAAGCGTGAAAAGGCACCAAACAGAATTACTTTAACACTTGTAATATTATAGTATGGATTTTTTTATATTAAAAAAAAATATGTAAAGGCTATTTGTACAAAAAGTTTTTTTTTGACAAAGAAACACATTAGGAGGAAAATAATGTTTTTTATATATTATTGTCCCTTTAGACTAAGTCTAGGTCTAGTCTAAGACTAAATCTAGTCTGCGAATAAATTTATTTCTAAAGTCTAGATTAGCGTGAGCGGCAGGTATGGCCAAAAGTCTGTGATCTCTGCATCTATAACTTTATAAGTACTATTAATATAAGGTAAAGCTGTTTTTAATAATCTCTAAAAACCCTGTAGGTACACTGTGTAAGTTTTTTAAGATATTTCTATACTTAGGACAGAATACTTTTAACTAAGTCGATAGAGCAAGATTTATTTACAATTAGCTATTCGCATTTATTTACTTCAGTTCCAGTTATATTCCTATTTCTAATATATAGTGTATTAAAGTATCAAATTTGTAACAATTGGAACCAGTACAAGTTACTTTTTCTCAAATGAAATTATACTTATTGTAAGATATGTTCTAATCGATACAGTATATTACACGCACATACCTATTATAAAATCAATATTTTATTCTATAAATATTTGATTAGCAGGTACTAGCTTTATCACGGACATTTGATTTAAATGTACAAATTATGGTTTCAAAGCCTTTGTTTATAAATTAAGTACATATATATTCAGTTGTATACTTTTTACGGTCAGAATTGGCTTGGATTTTATTCTAACTACTTATTAAATGCATTCCTTAATACTTATTATCACCTGATACTTATGATGACGTCACGTGTGGTGGCGTGGGCATGGGTTGCTCTTAGTAAATGATAAAAAGTGTCGTGACGGTCGAAATATTACACTTTTTTTCGTCTAGCTCTTATTCACTAAGTGTGCTGTATATAGGGTGCGACTAACTTCGTTCCACAAGGTTTGGGTTAAATTAATATAGACTTGCTGTTATCAAGAATAGGTTTGCTTAAGCGAGGAAGCATTACACTCTCACATAATTAACACTTGACAATGCACCTTCGCGTTTCAATTTAATTAAATTTACCTAATGTTGCTTATACAGGTAATAAATCTTAATAACAACAATATTTAAAGTACCTTTCTTCCATGTCCCATCCATTTGTTCCATCATCATCATGTAGAATATGTATGTGTTTTATTGATACGCACACACATGCGTATATTATGCATAAGCACGCACGCATACATACACACACACAACACACGCACGCGCACGAGCGTGCATGCACGCATGCACACACAAGCTCTTTCTTATTTTGTCTCTTTCTTATTAAGCTGTTTTCTTGGAACCGGTCATACATTTATAGTTATTATATGTCAAACAACTATAGTTATTATGTTTATCTAATTACCTTTAAAAATCACCAATTGTAAGTAAAATTCCATATAACATATGCAAACTCGTTAAATGTAATATGGTTGAGCGGGCTACGTGGGATGTAGCATCTGGGGGTTTCTTTTGAGATGCAGATTCACTATACTTTCAATATTCAAATATTTATGCAGACCCTATTTGAATTTTGGGAACACTCACATTCAATAGATAGCTATTCGTTTGAATATGTACAATGTACATAGAGTAGAGAGTATCAATCAGAAAGCCCGAATTTCAATTCCTACGTGGATCAAGTGAAAATATCGGTATGCAACGGTAACAATAAGTCTAGAAAACTGAAGACCTTACTACGTAAGCTTTAACTTTTTAATTTGTCTATATTTGGTTATTTAATTATAAATTACATCTTGAACTGGATTTTTAAGTTACTTTTTCCTGTCACTAGCAACTCGCCATCGCTTCGCTCGGGTTAGTCCCTAGGTTGATTCCCCATAGAAACTTTCATCCCCATTTTCCCTCCTTAAGGGATGATTTCCGGAATAAAAAATATCCTATATCCTTCCCAGGGTCTCAAACTATCTTCTTACTACATCTTAGTCGGTCTCATAGTTTTTGAGTTTATTCGTTACAAACATACAAAGATACAAATCATTTCTCTATATAATAGTAGTGTAGATATCGACACCAAAAATATACAATCAATGATTTCTTTATTTATGTGTATACCTAGGAAGTAATTCTATGTACTTAAACATACTATGTATTTAATTTTTTTTTGTATGTCACAATTGGATGCACCAGTTATAAAAATCACTAAGTCCACTTTTGCCTGATTATTTAAAAAAAAAAACGTCAATATTCTTAAATGTATTTAATAAAGAGTAAATCTTTAATTTAAAATACAGTTAAAGTGAGGTAATCGATTTTTAATATCAATGATAGTATAATATTTGAACTCCCAATCACAGTAATCTCTATTTTACATCAGTACTTATTTCCATTAGATAAAAATTGAAACGTTTAAATTTTATTTCTTCTCATGTTTAGAACAACATTTAAGTAAGAATATTTTGTTTGAAAATAAAGTTGTTATAAAATATTTATTTTATTAACTATTTTTGAAAGAAGCAAGTAATACACTATTTAGTTGAAATCTATGATAAAATAAAAGCGTGTAGAACTGCCACTGTCCTGTAAGGTACTGAGAGATAACCGCAAATGTAGTTTATTAATTGAAAAATAAAAATTAAACCTATTTTTTTTTTGAGTCTAACTCTAATCGTCTCCGCCCGTCATCACCTCCATGAATTCTGAAAAAAAAAACAATTTTTATGTTTATAAATTACTAAATAATCCGTTAGACGCTGTCCTGATCCAACAAACAATTAGTTTGAATATAAAAGCTCTTTTACCGACTTCCGAATTCTCCGAATTTTATTCCTATTTTTTTTTAAACTATGAATAGATTTAAAAAAATAGCTACCTCCGTCCAGCCGTTCTGAAATTATGTAAATACCATCAAATTAACAGCATGTTTTTCTATAGATTTCAATATGATTTTTCAATAAGCAGATAAAAGCTATCCTTAAAATATAACCTTGTTAAATATAAAAGAAAAACTTATTTACAAAAACTTATATCTTTTATAAATTATATGTTACTATGTTATATTTTATACAAAACTCATCAGATTGAAAGATCAGACCAAAGTTAAAAATCTGTCATAGTATTTAAAAAGAGCGTTTTGGCTTTCAAAAATAAATCAAATGGAAAGTACTCTATGTACGTATGATGATGTTCTCCTAGACGATTCCGGCTACGGCGGCCAATCTCATTGAGACTAGCCAACTGCGCAGGAGATATTATAGTGCACAAGTGTGCACGCAGACACAAGTGAACACTCTATTCCTGTCACTCTCATACTCTAGTGGTACGACTACTCGACCGGTGAGAGTTAACGTGCTGGACCGACGGCTTGACGTGCTCTCCGAGGCACGAGGGTGAAACACCGCCAACTTCCCAACTCCGGGCTGTTACTGAGACTTCCTATACAGAAAGACTCAATAACTAAACTTGGCCCGACCCGGGACTCGAACCCAGGACCTTCGGGTGTGCAGCCGTAAATGCTAGCCACTACACCACCGAGTAAGTTAATGTTCTATGTACGTATACTAGTACGGATGTACTGGATACTAGTAAGTCTAAATTCGTCCTCACGCACTCTTTCTAACAGATAGGAATTTTGCATAGTGTTTAAACAAAGTTTGTCGAGTGGCCGGTAATGCTTTTAATTTTCTTTCCCGATATGATTAACTCATGACGACTATTCTCGCTATGACTAGCCAATATTAACCTTCTTTATATAATTCTTAATATCTTCTCATTATTATAATTTTTAAAAAATTTTTACAGAAAATTCCAATATTGCTTTTGGACTGACTTAAAACTTATTGACTGAAAATGAGAATCGAATCTAGGAAAATGAAAAGGAAAATGAATCCAATATCAATGAGACATGTATATATAATTCGACCCCGTTTGGCTCAGTGTGTAGTGACCCTACTTGCTGTGCCAGCGGTCGCGGGTTCGAGTCCCGCTGGGGGCATTCATTGTGTGATGAGCACGAATGTTTGTACTCCAGTCATGGGTGTTTATATTTATAATATGTGTATAATGTATGTATTTAAAGTTTATATATATGTGTATCAACAATCTGGTATCCATAACACAGGTCTCGTAGCTTACCATGGAACTAAATGGTGCCGTGTGTTAATGTCCCAACATATTTATTTATTTATTATTTATAATATTGTATACCTATAGAGTTTTAATGTCAAAAAAATCTCAGTAGCACCCCTAGCTTAGGAAGTTGGCGACGTTACACAGTCGTGTCGCATTGTCATCGCCAGAGGACTTTGAGATTAAACGGAAAATAGAAAATGTACTTGTGATGCATAAGCCTTCACTTTAATATCTCTCGCTCAGATAGTTGGCTTACTGAGATTGGCCGTCGTGACTGAAATCGATCAAATGGATATCACGTGATTCAGTTTTTAAGTGTTTGACATATTTCAACCTTAAATTTTTGAGCTCGCAAGCTATGTTTCGAAATTAATTTTATACAACCACATAGGTACATCACGTTAAATAATTATAAATTTTTTATTAATATGTTAATAAATCACTTGTTGCGCGAATGTTTGATTAAGTGCCAGTGACCGCGCCAATAACCTCTACTAATGCACAAATGAATTTGGCCGATTTGCTTGAGCTGGCTACTGTTGATTGACATGAATGAATATCGTATTTTATTTATGTAACACCAAGTATTATCCTAACCTTATAAACGTCTATTACATATAGAATATTATTACATAAAATAAAATTAAATTACTTATGACACTACCCTGGTTTTACAATACATGTCTGTAATCTATACATACAATAAAATTGTAACTAAGCCAAATCTGTACATTAAATATTCTTTGGAAAATCTTATTGAAATAGACATTATAATCGATACAGAGGCCGAATCTATAGTTTTTAGAATTTTTGTCTGTCTGTCTGTTACCGCATCACAGAAAAACCACTGAAGGGATTTTAATGAAATTTGGTATGGTGATAGCTGGTTATCCGGATCAACATATAGGATAATTTTTACCGCGGGAAAATATCTCATTTCTGAGAAAAAAAACAAAAACTGCATTGTAAGAGTATACTAATATGTAAAACCTAAGAATTTGGTTTTTGGTCATCTGAACGCGGGCGGAGCCGCGGGCAATGCTAGTGTTTTATAATTAGACTAGCACGATTGTTTCGGTTTTGCCACATTATTTCTTTTATTTGACAGTTGGAAAATATTGTTCTTATAAGCTTTTTGCTGTCATTTAGAGGCACCTATTTAGGAGCTAAATTTGGAAAAAAGTACTTAGTGATTGCCCACGTCATTAGGATGTATAGGAATTTGGTGCAAAAGGCAAAAGCTTTGCCCGCTTGGTCCAGCAGCTTAGTCCGGTCGATGGTAAACCAAATAAGGTAGGCCAATTTGAATACATAAATGCAAAATTTTATTTCGAAAGTATCAGTTACAGTAATTTAATTTGAATTTAATTTGCTAAATATAAAACCTATTTTTTAATTTAGATCTAAATAACAAGTTTGATCTAAACAAAGCGTTTATATAACACGTACCTATGAAGAATTTAAAAAATTGATACTTTTTTTAATCAACACTTAACATATAAATGCATCTATTACTGTAAGATAAATCATATTTTTTCCTAACAATGCTTTTAAATATTATGATAAAGGTCGAAACGAGTTCCAATACACTTATCGAACCCACACAATTAAATGCTAATGGCTATTAACTTTGTTGTATGAAGATACTTCGTATATTTTATAGAAATATTCTAATAATAACAATCGATGGTTGAGTGTTTTTAATATTTATTATTTGTATTTGGATTTGCATTATGTTTTAAATAGAATGCAAATATTAGTATTAAGCTTTGTTTGTGACTAGTAAATATGAATATATGTAGTTGACCTAATTTGATTATTTTCCTTCATACAATTCGTTGGCTCACTATTACAAGGTTCTATGTTAATTTTAATGAAGTTTAGTAATTTTTACATAGAACTTCGTTATTTTGTTATCGTAAAAAAAAACAACATAGAACTATGTAAAATTGAATATTTTGTAGTTATAGTGCCGCTATCTAGTGGTTTGTTTTTGCAAAACTGTAGCTAATGACACATAGAACCTTGTAGCATTAATAACTAAATAAGTACTAAATTGTAACATAGAACCTTGTAATAGTGAGCTAACGAATTATGTAGTGGTTAAAATATAATTCTAGTTAATGTACTATATGTATATACTGTAAAGATACGTTTATGTTTCGTCGAAAGTAGAATCTAGAAATTATACTCTTTGACCTATTTCATGAAAGGAGGAAATGCTCAATTTGGATGTATTTTTTTATTAAATTTTATTTCACACGATATGTTCGCTAGTGATGTTTATGATTTTTATATTAATAAATAATAATTTATAACTCAAATGGTCGGTTTCATTTTTTTCTGGCAAATGGTCTAACGACCATACCATATCAGATACCATTGCAATAATTACATATACCATAGAGCAATGCTAATTTTTATGTAATTTTGAAGTCAGTCTTATAATTGCAAATGTTGCTTACCATCGAAGTCTACAGTTCCGGAACCGTCGGAATCAATTTCCTCAATCATCATATCTAATTCTTCGGCGCTGATTTTGTCATCGAGTTCTCTTAAGATTTCTCGCAATACTGTTGTGGTGATATAACCGTTACCTGTAAATTAATAACTTTGTATTTGTATAATTCATATAATATTTAATATTCGTCAATCGAAATCTTCTTTTGGATAATAATAATACACAAATTTATTGCTTACTAGCACAGCGCGCGGCTCCGCCCGCGTTCAAATGACCAAAAACTAAATTCTTAGGTTTTATATATTAGTATACTCTTACATTGCAGTTTTTGTACTTTTTCTCAGAAATTAGATACTTTACCGCAGTAAAAAGTATCCTATATGTTGACTCTGATAACCAGCTATTACCATACCAAATTTCATCAAAATCCCTCCAGTGGTTTTTCTGTGATGCGGTAACAGACAGACAGACAAAAATTCTAAAAACTATAGATTCGGTCTCTGTATCGATAATAATGTCTATTTCATTTAGTTTTTCAAAAAATATTTAATATACAGATTCGGCTTAGTCACAATTTTATTATAAGTATAGATTTCCAGGTGTACATAACGTATTTATATTGATTTAAAACATTGTTATAAAGAGTTTGTAACAGACACACAATGTCCATGTAAACTTATTTTAAAATAAATATTATCTTTTGCTATTTCATTTAAATAATCTTATTCTCTATAGCTCGTGCAAAGTGGCATGTCTCAGGAGAAATTCTGAAATATGTCATTTCCAGTTAAGCTGCAACCAGCATCGCTTGATGAGATTAGCAAAATAATCTTTTCAACGAGCTGTAAGCTTGGAGAAGACTTTTGAAGCCGTTTAGATAATAATAATTCATATCATTACTTTCATTAATTAAAGACTTAAATGTAGGTTAAATACGAAACCTTCTTTATCATATAAGCGGAATGCCTCTTTAAGTTCTGCTTGCATAGCTTCTGCGTCCTCTTCAACCATGAACCTGGAAGCTAAAGTGACGAATTCTTCAAATTCCAGCTCTCCGGATCCTGAAATAATTATTTATATTTGTTTATGTATTTATGATATAAAAAATAGTAATATATTACATATATATATATATATATATATATATATATATATATATATATATATATATATATATATATATATATATATATATGGGCTTTTATGTTTGTAATACTACGTTTTTCCCTAAGAGAAGTAAGCTTTGGTTTGGTTGGTCCTAAAATGGCAGTAAGTAAAACTAATATGTAGAAATGTTTGTCAGTGATTGATACATTCATTGTTACTTCTACACGCTGTAAAAAGAAAAATAATATGAGTGCAGTTCGAAATAGAGATAGCTCATCCAGCATCTAAACTACCTTGTTTTTGTGTAAAAATGTACGAGTATATATATCGGGACTGCCGACTTGATAGGCAGTCTGTCAGATACTTTTTCTAGCGCACATAAGACTAATGGTTTGCATTAGTTTTGAACGAAGTTATTATTTTTAAAATATTTGTTGTTAACTCTATACATTTATTTTTTTCTTGGAAATATAATCTAAGGATTGTTCAAGGTATTATTAAGTTTTATGTATAATTAATTTTATACTTGTTTCTCGCGGTTCTTCTTCTTCTAAAAAAGGGCGTTAGCATAGGCTCAGGGACACTGTAGCTTTCTTTTTGCAATCAATTCAGTTATCTTGAAGATTACACAAACAAACAAATTGATTTTACCTTTTCTTACACATATAAAATTAGCTTAAATCGTAATAATAAGGCAGACCTCAAACAACGACACGTAAAGAATATTAAAAATATTAATTATTTATCTAAGCAATATTATTGTTTCATGTATAATTTAACAGAAGTTAAAATATTAATTTAGATTGCTATTATTTAAAGTTAAAATATTAAGCAACACTATTGCTATCTTTATAGACAAAAAATATTAATCAGAATTACTGTTATTATTGCGATCCACACACTATGAACTACGTGACGTAAGTACTGTGATTGTGAGCTCTCCTATCGGACAAACAGAGAGATCCATTAGTTTTATTTAAAAGAAAAAAAAATATATCTCATAATATGAAAAGTGAGTGAGGGAAATAGTTTTTGTCCCGAAAATCATCCCTTATGGGGGTGAGAATGGGGATGAAAGTAAGTCATTTTCAACCGACTTCAAAAAGGAGGAGGTTCTCAATTCGACTGTATGTTTTTTTTTTTTTTTTTTTTTTTTTTTTATGTTTGTTACCTCAGAACTCCGTCATTTATTAACCGATTTGGACAATTTTTATTTTGTTTGAAAGGGTATACTTCCAGATTGGTCCCATTTAAATTTCAAAAAAAAATACCACCCCTAAGGGTGGAAAAACAACTAATGATGAATTTAACCTACTTCTAATTGTCATATTGACTTGAAACTTTGCAAGTATTTCTATTTCCGTTGATAGTACAGTGGTTCGGTGTTGTTGACCTGATGGCAAGGCCAGAAGGTGGATAGGTGGAACTCTTCAACGGCTAATAGTAGATACTTTGAGTTTGGGCTTATTTTGTTTGATTTGACAAGCCTAACACGTTAGAATCCTTACTTTGCTACTACTGTCTACACTAAAAAGGGAAAAATAAAAACTTTTTAACAAAAAAATAAAAACCGACTTCAAACAAAAGCACTAAAAAGTACAAAATAACTGTTTGGTAGTTTTCATTTACTATACATACCTAATCAAATATTTTCGAAGTCGGTGTGCTTTGGCTAAGTAATTAAAGCCTACCTATTAAATACATACCTAATCAAATATTTTCGAAATCGGTGCCAGCCCATACAAAGCAAAGCACACCGACTTCGAAAATATTTGATTAGGTATGTATAGTAAATGAAAACTACCAAACAGTTATTTTGTACTTTTTAGTGCTTTTGTTTGAAGTCGGTTTTTATTAATATTGCCAACTCATATTATGTTTTTTTTTATTGTTTTATTATGTTCTGTTAGAGTTTAAGTTTTGCTTTTTTGTGTTTTTTTTTATTTTATAATTTGTTTTTTGTTTGTTTTTTGTATTGTTAGTCATATTTTTGTTGTCCTTTGTAGTGTTTTTTTTTGTGGTAGCGGTAACTTTTGTGAAATATATTATATTGTTTTAATGTTTAAATTAATCATGTTTACTCTACCTGTGACATATTTATAGATAGAAACTTTGCTGGTGTGTGGATGTTTTAGTTTGTAATTATTTTTAAGAATTAGTATCTCACTGTTTGTTTCCCAAAAATTAATAAATAAAAAAATAAAATAAATAAAAAGTTTACATGCGGAAGCAAGCCAGGGACGAACCCAAACGAAGCGAGGGTGAGTCGCTAGTTTATTATATTTAATTTTGTACAAAATGCAATGCAACGGTGAACCATACTGCCATCATTTCTAATTAATGATCACACCAAAATCATAAATCGTTATTACGTAGTGAGATTAACATTTACTATTAAATTCCGGAATGTGAGCGTCGAATAGTCAATATTTCATTTATTATGTGGACGTGTCATAACAAGTCATCACTCATTACCGCGTTGTAACAAGCTGTCGTATTTCATGTTTTCAGCGGCCACAAATCAAATAAAATTTCATAGAAACAACATTAATATATGTAGTAACGTTGTCTTAAAGATCTTACTGTACTAAGTCGGTCTAGATTTCCAAGTGGAACTAAAACTTATATTTTTACGTAAAATGGCAAAATTCTTTTATATATATAAAAAAAATTGTATACTTCCGTTAGCTCATTGATGCACTTTTGTTTAAAGTACATTAAATGTTCATAATGTGATTGAAGAGTAATTATGTAATGTAACATGGATAGAATCAGATCACGTTTAAACGTTAATATATAAGTATGTATTTATTGTACTAATATTATAAATATGAAAGTCTGTATGTTTGTTTAAAGTCTCTCACGCTGAATCGACTGAACAAAGTATGAAATTACAATCCACATATTTATATATATATATATATATATATATATATATATATATATATGTAGAGTAGGACCTATAGCAACCCCTACTTTAATGATTAATATAAAATTAAAAGTAACTTTATTTATAAACTAGTGACTCACACTAGCTTGATTCCCAATACAAACTTTCATCCCCATTTGCACCCCTTTGATGGATGATTTCCGGGATAAAAAGTATTCTATGTCCTTCCCAGGATCTTAAACTATCTTATTACCCAATTTCACCTAAATCGGTTTAGTAGACCCAGAGATTACCCCCTACAACGTCACAAGCTCACAAACTTTACCTCTTTATAATATTAGTATAGATTAGATGAATAGCTTTTATTCAAAATACTGTATCACGTTATTACGCTTTGGATAGTTTATGTAAGCTTGTTACATGACTTTTTAAATAAATTAATTAGTTAAGAAAAATCTTAGCATTCAGTACTAGCATAGTTTGGCAAGTGTGACAAGCATTTAAGCTGTCAGTCTGATACGATTGCCTTTCCGTGCCAAAACAATAATTAACAAACTAGTCGACTTCAATGCTACAAAATTCTAATGCCTTTGAAATGTGACATAAGATCATGTTCTTAATTTGACCTTTTATGCCTAATTAAATATTATTAATGTTTCTGGTTATGTTGGTGTATAATATACATTATATAATTTAGATATTTTAGTTTGTTTAGTACTAAGGTAGTAACTTGTTAGAAATTGAAGTATAAAGAATAAATTTTATTGAGTATTGGTTGTTATGCTCTCATATTCTGCAAACTCATCAAAAGATTCTTCTATGGAACTTAGAAAGTGATTTAGTTTTGATAAAAATAGACTAAGTACTAATACTAGTTTTTGATTCCCAGTGAAATTTAATTTTAATATTTCGCTTTGTCTAAGCCAGATCTAAATAACCGATTTACTTAAATATTCGCCTCTATCTGAAATTGGATCCTTCATATTATATAATATATTTTGAGTATATATCTTGTAAAGTCAATATTTTATTTCACCTTCCTATATGTATTTTCTAACTAATATCCCATGGGAAACGTTTGATGTATTGAGAAATAAAGTAATCTATATCACTCTACAAAAACTGTTTCTATACAAAAAAATGGCTTAAATCTATTGATAACAAGCACACATTCACTTATTATTTGATAATAACCTATGTTTATAGATTTATGTTACTGCAAATTAATTTAAGTAAAAATAATTTGTAACTGACCATCAACATCCACTTCGTCAATAATTTCTTTCAGGGTATCATCTGTGACAGGGTGTCCCAGCATGCCTAGGATAGTACCAACCATCACTGTACCGATGCATCCTTTCTTCTCGTGGTCAAAAGCTTCGAAAGCTTTTTTCAAGACTACAAACAAAATATTCATTTAAAATCCTAAGTAATTAAAATTAAAATAAAATTAAAAAAAATAAAAATTAATTAAAACAAAACTAATACGTACTGATAATTTGTTCCTTGGGCAGTTCCTCCTGAAAGTAAACAGATGATGAATTAGACTTGCTAAATAATCCCCAAAAAAATATTTAAACAATACAAAAAAATAATCACTAAACATCACTAATAACCAAACACTTCTCACCATTGCGAACTAAAAAAATAGTAGCAATGTATATGCGATAGCGAACCACAAGACGAGGAACACGAGTCCTTTTAGCTGTACGACTTGAGCGACTAGATTGAATCTTTCAACTATCTCGCCCAGATTGGCTCGTGATCGGTTCACGGGCGCGACCAACAAGTAGATACACACACTTTGGCCACACAACCGCTTTTAACCATTGTTGCTGAGGACGTAATTCATCTTCTACACGTTGATCCGTCCCCGGTGTCACACGGACAGGCCAAATTCAATAGACTAATTTCAATGCAAACTTATTATACACAAATTAATTATCCACATTGGATGGTTGCCATCGTTATATACAAATATAGCTTACTAATTTGCTCTTAATTCTTGGTAAATGTTAACAATTACCAAATATAAGACAGCCAATGTGTAATGGTAGTTTTTTTATTGTTGTACCATACTGATCGTGAACGGACTCATTTATTTTAAAACTGAGATGCTAAGGTCGATTTGACGACACGTTTGGCTCAGTTTGTAGTGACCATGCTGTGCCAGCGGTCGCGGGTTCGAGTCCCGCTGGGGGCGTTCATTTGTGTGATGAGCACGAATGTTTGTACTCCAGTCATGGGTGTTTATATTTATAATATGTATGTATTTAAAGTTATATATGTATAATGTATCAACTATCTGGTATCCATAACTCAAGCCTCGTAGCTTACCATGGAACTAGATGGTGCTGTGTGTTAATGTCCTGATAACTCTTTTTAATTCGCGGGAGCATCATTAGAATGTAAATAAAATTAAATGTTATCTATGTTCAAGACTTGTACTATCATATCTATTTGCTATATATTTGAAATTTAACGTTTTTGAATCAATGTTATTAAAACTAAATAAAAATATCCCTCCTAAACCTCTCAAATGTTCAAAATATTTGTTTTTTGTTTACATATAATATACCTATATTTTCATCATAAAAGATACTCTATATATTTCGTATAAGAAACTAAATCAATTTTATATATATACGTGTAATGAAAACACGCCCGAAAAGCTTATTTGAAATATTTAATTTGACTAATGTATCGAACATATATATATAATAACATAACTGTGACCACAGTGCAGCATTAAATAATGAAAACACTAACCACGCTTTGTGTGTACAATGTACATATTACTCAAAATAACGTTCCATTAAATGATTACGTAATCTAAAACAATATTCTATAAACTTATTTAAGCATACGTATTTGATTGTCTAAATATTACGAAAAACAAAAACAAATCTATCCCACGGGAACAGTACATTTTTCTAAATAAAAATTAGCCTATGTGCTATTCCAGACTATAATCTATGGCTGTGCCAAATTTCATCCAGATCCGTTCAGCCGTTCTGGCGTGGAAGAGTAACAAACATCCATGCTCATAAACTTTCACATTTATAATACTATGTAATTTATTATGTTATATACAGATAGCACCACTTTTTTGCAAATATTATAACTAACAGTAGCCCATATCTTATCCAAGCCAAAGTCTAAGTCTATCTGGATGCTAAATTTCATCCTAATCTGTCCAGTCGTTTCAGCGTGAAGAATAACAAACATACACACGCACATACAAACTTCCAGGTTAATAATAATAATTAATAATTAAGTAACATATAAATTATTTTAGAATGTGTACTTCAATAAAATATGTGATCGTTTTCATTGAAAATTGACACATGGATTGCAATTATCTAACGCACTCGTGTGAATTCAATATTTACTATTCAAAGCGCTCTAATTACAAAGTAAAAGTTTTTCATACGGTAATTGCAAGTTTACCAAAACTGTATTTAAATAGCGATTAAAACATGAAATACGGTATAAAATCAACCCAAGGACCAAATTTAATGTTTTATGAAAGTAATTTATATAAGTACTAGCATTGCCCGCGGCTCCGCCCGCGTTCAGATGACCAAAAACCAAATTCTTAGGTTTTACATATTAGTATACTCTTACATTGCAGTTTTTGTATTTTTTCTCAGAAATGTGATATTTTTCCGCGATAAAAAGTATTTTATATGTTGACCCGGATAACCAGCTATCACCATACCAAATTTCATCAAAATCCCTTCAGTAGTTTTTCTGTGATGCGGTAACAGACAGACAGACAAAAATTCTAAAAACTATAGATTCGGCCTCTGTATCGATAATAATGTTTGTATCAAAAAGATTTTCCAAAAAATATTTAATATACAGATTCGGCTTCGTTACAATTTTATTATATTTATGGATAATAGGTTTTCTATACTGTCTTGATTGCTGTAAAGCATTCTAAATGTCGGGAACCAAAAATCAAAATAAATCCACGAAATATGGGGAAAAGATAGATTTATTTAAAATTTCAAATATTCGCGTAGATGTAAGAAAGTATTTTGCTTTATTTAATTCATTAAATTAATTAATTTTACTTGTATACTAGCATTACTCATGGATCCGCTTGCGTTCAAACGATCAAAAACCAAACTCAAGATTTGAAAAAAAAATGGCGGTGTTTGTCTATGACACAAAGGCTTACTTAATTTCATATTTATTTTATAATATTACATTTTTCGTTTTTTACTATATTTTAATACTACTTTTATACCAATTACTGAACCAATTTTAATAATACTTTTACAAACAGGTAACAATATGTAACATTTAGCTGATTATTACTATTATATAATTTTTCTTAATAATACTTTTTCGAGAAATGAAAGTGGGTGGGTAGTTACTTTTTATTTTGGCTGAAACGATTTTTAAATAAAAACGTTTGTAAATTAATCTGATCTTGAGCTATAAAAAAAAACGAGACAGTGAAAGTTTCTATTGTCTTTATAAATAAGTTAAAGTAAGGTAAGTAGGTTTGTAAGTAATTTTCTATTAGATCTCATATTAATCGAGTTAAAGAACTTAAAAGTCGTATCGACACAAAACAAAGTAATTGTATCATGCCATCCTTCTCTCTATCCTTTAAAAAGCAAAAAAATAAAAACTGTAGATTTGGCCTCTTTATAGTTAAAAATAGATAGCTATTTCAATTATATTTTCCAAAAAATATTTTGTCTTGTAAACACAAAAAAATCGTTCTGTGACATATTTTAAAAGAATAGTTGTAAAAGCCATTACAGACTTTATAATACTCAATTTTATTTCAAAAACTAATACAAACCATATGGACTTGTTCTAATGTAACCATCATTCTAAGCAAAATTCCAAAACGGTGACATACCTATTTATTTCATTTAGTTTCCTAACTGGGGTAGCTGTCTCGCAATATGGAAAAGTTACCAGTTATTCAATAAAATTACTTTGTAAAGCAGAAGTTTCAATGTCTATAAACAGGCTATTTCTGTGCCTGAGCAACGTGTTGACCGCCAGTATGAATTATTATAAACATACAGTCAAATTAGTCTTACAATTGCACGTCATATATATAAAGTACTACACTCATATCTTTCGACTTCTACTGTGACTGGTTGAAGCAATAAATAAATGTATCTTCCGCTGCAATAAGTTAAGTAATTTGTTAGATCTAGTTTAATTTATTATACACTACACTCGCTTCGCTCAAGTGCATGCCTTTATTATAATATTACTAGCGACTCACCCTCGCTACGCTCGGGTTCATCCCTAGTTTGCTTCCCAATACAAACTTTCATCCCCATTTTTACCCCCCTTTGATTTTCAGGATAAAAAGTATTCTATGTCATTTCCAGGGTCTAAAACTATCTTCTTACTAAATTTAATCTAAATGGGTTTAATAGATCCAGAGATTACCCCCTACAATGTAACAAACTCAAAAACTCACAATTCACAAACTTTACCTCTTTATATATTAGTATAGACTAGTGTTGGTCCAGTGGTCGAAAATATTTACTGAAAATTTGAGGAAAGCAATATTAATAGACCTACCTATATTATGATATAGGTAGGTCTATTAATATTGCTTTCCTATCCCTATCTACACATAAACAAAAACAAAACAAAAATTTTAATGATAACACTAAAACTCGTTGACAGCCACTAAACAAAAAAAAAATGAAAATGTGTTGACAAACAGAGGAGAAAAATTATTGAACTATTTTGTCTTAATTTTTTTTTGGCTCACTCTTGACCTTCATCTTCGCTCGAAGGCCTACGATAAGGTCTACGATCTAGCGAGTTTGCCCAGGAGAAGCCTGTTAACACGCACCTTAAATAGATTCAGGTTATACGCACTCGGAAAAACAGACGCACGCAGGGCATTCCACTTCTTGGCTGTGCGCATTATAAAAGATGATTATAATAGATATATAAACTAATTGTATTCAGTTCTTTTGAATGTCCCACTGCTGGGCACGGGCCTCCCTTCAATACGAGGGGGATCAGGCCATAGCCCACCACGCTGGCCAAGTGCGGGTTGGCGGACTTCACATGTCTTTCGAAAACTTGCTAGGTTCTCTAAGACATGCAGATTTCTGTACAGTGTTTTCCCTAACCGTAAGGCAAGTGGTCATCATTTTATCCTCCATCCGCCCAAATCAGCACAGCTATTTCAGTGTAAAGGAGTTACAACTAACACATACAAACTTTAGCACACTGATTTAGGAGTCACCAGTTCGGTTCTCAGATGCTGCAAATATTTCTGATCTAGCTGGTGTTGATACATTTATCTGGTAGAGAGATAACTAGTATTGTAAACTACCAATCAATTTGCACTCACATCGTTAGCAATAAATTGGGATATTACCTTTCTTTCCTCTAAAGCATATAATTTAAACTATAAATAAATAAAAAGAATACATAAGGTTTTAGTATAAATATGGAGTCTTCCTTCTTTTACAATTACATGTTAGCTTTCTATATTTTTCACGTATTTTGTTGGAGAAATAATTATATTATAATACTCATGATTCATCCTCGCTTCAGTCGAGTTCATCATTAGATGATTCTTTAAATTGACATGATTTCTATATTTTTAAACCGATTGAAATAAAACAA